ACTGTTGATTCGCCATTTCTCCGTTATCTCACCTACGCCGCCGGGGGTCGCCGGGGCTCGACGGGGGTGAGTGGTGGAAGGTGGAGACTCGGATTACAGGTGTTACTTTCCGGTTGGGGTTTGAACCCTCTTTCTCCGGCCACCTGACCGGTGGTGGAACCGGCGCCATACGGGGTTGTTGGGGTGGGGGTGGGGTGGGGATGACTGCCAGCTGACCATGATTGGCCAGGCTGTCAGTTGACCTGCCAGACTGTTTTTGAATTTTGAATGGAGGCGGCTAGGAAGCTATGCGATGGAGGATGCAGGTTTACGGGCTGTTGCCCTAGCCGGTTCTGCTGTGGGCTGAAGTTTGGTGGGCTGTCGCCTTGCTGGATAGTTGGCCCACTCGTGTGAAGCTGCTGATGTCTCCTTGGATACGGAATGTGTGATGGGCCTGGGGGCTTTTATTAGCTCACGGCCCAGTCTCTTTGTTTTTTTGTGGACTGATGTTTATTTTGGTGAGATGAAGTTTTTGAAGGACCTTTTGGACTGGACTTTTTTGTGATTTGATCCGGGGCCTGTCCCGATCCTTTTTGACTTCTTTAAAAAAGACAAATCCTCTCTCCCCCCATCGCGTGTGGGGGGGGGGGGCGGGGGGCGGATATGGTAGATACTAGTTTAGGTTAGCTTGCTACCTAGATAGTTTTCTTTTTGATTCTTTTGATGCATTGTAATGCTATTTTCTGGATATATATATTTACATTTTATCCACAAAAAAAAAAGGGAGAAAGTGGCATCAAGTGGCAATGACTTGGGGAAGGACAAGTAAAAATTAATGCTGATGCGGCCTTTGACACAAACAATGGTACCCGATCATGGGTGTAGGTAGTCAGAGACAACATGGGGCGGTTCATTTTTGCAGGTTGTCAAAAAATTTGTGCAGTCTGGAAGGCTGAGGTGACGGAGACTATAGGGGTCAGAGAAGCATTAACTTGGGCCAAAATGCAACAGTGGACACGAGTGCACGTCGAGACAGACTCTTTAATGGTAGCCTCCGGAATCACGAGTAGAGAGGGCGAGTCTTATTTTAACACAGTCCTTGCCGATATAAGATACATTCTTCAAAAAGAAGCTAAAATGGAAGTCATCCACCGTAGAAGATCCACGAACAGTGTGACTCATGTTCTGGCAAATGCGGCACTTTCAATGACAGATAATTCTTTGTATTTTTCTTTTCCTTCCGATTGCATTGTACTTCACATGGAGAATGATTTATTGCAGTAATATATGATCATTTTCAGCCAAAAAGGTGAGATGGAAGATGAAAAAGAAAATCCAATACGTATATTGATGTATTTAAATAAACTAAAAATTTTCAAATTGAGTGGAGCAAATAAAACTTCCAAAAAGAATACAAGCGCAACAAAGAATAAGGAGTATTATTTATTTAATTCTCATAGTGAGTAGTAGACCTTTTGGTTAGATTTAAATGATTAAATTAATTGAAAATTTTTAATTAATGAATTATATGAAAATCTTTAATACCAAGAGTGTAGGTAAAAATAATAATACCATGAATATCTTTATCATGTCAACTTCAAACTTTCTTTTAAAATTTCCAATGTGAAAATATTAAATATTAAGAAAATGTATTAGCCATGGACTAATATTAATCGTCTCAAGGTCTACAAATTATTTTGATATTAAAATACTTATTCAAGGCAAAGATGAGAGACCTCGGTAAGAGACCACAAGTGTGGTATACAAAGTGTTTTATAACATGTAGTGCTGACTATACTGCACAAAATTTGATACTTACTAATCCTTTTTGTCACAACTGTAATTTTCTTTATAATGGCGAACAATCACATTTATTTCCAACAATCATTTTATTTAACCATTTTAAATTGTCTTAGATTTTTTATAAAAATACTCATATAAGTACTTTTTTGAAATATTCACACACCGTGCATCGCACGGGGGCTATAATAGTGCACTCAAACAACATTTGGTAATTGATTACATATTAAAATAAATAAAACATACTAGTATTAAAGAATTGTGATCATAAGTTTTATTCTTGTTTTATGTTATACTGCTAGCCGATTGAACTGAATGATGTCGAAGAAAAAGAAAGCATATATGGGTAAGTCTGGATGCCATTAGGTCTTGAGAGATGAATTCCGCCCAGCACCACTGGGAACCCGCGTCCTGAGCCGCCAAGTCTTCCCAGCGGAAGAGTTGTAGAAACCCTTACTTTTAAGTTCAGTTGTAGAATTGAAAAGAAGCATCGTAGATTCTTAATTTGTTGAGGAATGAAAAGAATCAAGAAGATCAAACGATCAAATGACCTAAAGCAGTTGAATTTCCAAATCACTGCCTCTACATCAAACAGAAGGTGGGTGAATATTTGTATTGATGTGCATTTGGTCATTTGTTCAGGGTTTTGAAGGATTTAAAGCTAATAAATTTTCAACCAAAACAAAATTTGGGAAGGAATAACACTGGAGGTAGATTGAAATCTACGGAGTATATCCTTTTTCAACCTCTTCATTATAATAATTAGATTAATCAGATGAAAACAAATACAGAGTAACATAATAGCAACTAATGAACAATATAATGAAGTGAAAATTGGCTTAATTTGAATAAGAGGAAAACGCATAACCTGTATGAAATCAGAATTCATCTGTGAGCTTATCCTTCATCTTCGAGTTTGAGCTGACAACTTGCTGGAGCAGATAATTTGATGATGCGAAATCTCTTTCAATTGCACAAGGGAATAGGTGGACTGGTGCGAGCAAATAGAAGTGACGGAGGTGAAGAGGTGCGGCGGTGGAAGATGATATTAATAAGTTGAAGGAGGGAAGAGTCGTTGCCCCTGGTGATTACGGCGACTCGATCATCCTTGTCTAACCGGAGGTGAAGAGGTGCGGTGGTGGCTGCCTGGAGGAGCATTTGTGGTGGTTGCAGTTCGCGGGTGATGCTACGGCTTATAGATGAGAAGGCGGATGGATGAGGATGTGAACCGAACGGTGAGAAGGACGGGAAGAATTGGAGGAATAATGGAGAAAAGGAAAGAGAACGTGGAACAGAAAAAGTGAGGTGATTTTTTAACGTGAAAGGTGATGTTTTAAAGTGTATGGTCCACGTCATTTCTAAAAGAACGGTGAAGATTGATTTGTATCGCTATTAAGTATAAGGATTAGAATAATAATAAGTAAATAAGTAATGACTAATTTTTTTATCATAAATGATGTACGGAGTATGATTTTTAAAAGTGAGAAACTGGGTAAATAGAACACACACACATATGTATAATATATAATTAATTGTATTATAATTGAGGAGAAATTTAGAACGACATTCATGATATATAATTATACTTAATCCATTTTATTATCTATAAAATGGATGAAAAAATTCGCAAATAAGATAATTAAAATATATATGGGGGCACCCGTGGGGGACAACGGGGTGGGGTGGGGACGGGACGGGTCTGGAAGTAACGGGGGATGGGGTGAGGATGGGAGAAACTTTTAGACATGCGGCATGGTGGAGTGAACCCCCGCCCCAAAATCGCCTCGTTGTCATCCCCACTTTGAGGTTTGAAATGATGACAACCCTAAACATATTTGTAGTTTTTATAATTTTAAACGTTGAATATCTTCATGTAGCGCTAATTTGGCGGTGATTTGTAGGAGATTTTAAAAAACAGGAACCAAAAAATGATTACAGGGGAATTGTTAAGGCTTAATTTGGTTCTGTATCGGTTCTGCGAATAAGTTATAAGAACCGATCTCAGACATAAGAACCGAACCGATCTCAGATCTACTTTAAATGCACTAAGCGCTGCAAAACTTATATAAGCTTGTCACGTCTCCTCTCATTTCTATGGCTTCCTAAAGAATGGGTGCTAATTGAACCGTTAGTGAGTATGTTGCTCTATGCAATGCTTGTGATAGCATATCTCAAAATGGTATCATCCGCATAAATCAATCGAGCAAGTCTTTTTGGGTCGAGTTCATGTTTTATTTTCAAAAAAATGTAGCGTTTTCGGAGTCGGAGTTCAATTTTGAGTCCAGTTTCAAGATTATCAATCCCCAATGCTCTATGTCGATAGGTTGTGTGCGTAAGGCGAAGGCAAACCCGACGAGTGAATGCAATATGATATGAATGACACATCAAGTGGAGAAGATAATCCAATGTACTACTATGTTTAGACACACAAGTTGAGAAGTGAGTCCAAATGCTCAAATGTAAAACGGTGTTGAGATATATTATCCCGGTCTACCACTGTTCAGGGGCCCAGGGCATTACCCAGCACGGAGCCCGGTCAGTGAGGCCCGTTTTGACCCGTTTCGGCCATCCGGTCCACTTTGGCCCAGATTGCCCACCTTGGCCCGTTGGGCGATTGGGGTGGAGTGCCTCCCCCCCCCCCCCCCTTTCCCCTATAAATAGTAGATTTGCCTCCATATTGTAAGGAGACTTTTTCTTCCTCCTCCTTCTCTCTAAGTATTAAGCAAATACTCCATTAATGGGAGCTTGTACATTGTAATGGGGGGAGAGTCTAATGAGAATGAGAGAGGTTGACCATTAGTCTAAAAAGTTCTGTGGTTTTCTCCCTTTCCGGGTTTCCACGTAAAAATAGCTTGTTCATACATATTTATATCTATATCTATTACACTGTGTTGGATTAAACTCAACATACGAATTAATGAGAATGCTCATAAAATCTTCACACATAATTTAATTGAATGTTTAGAAGAGAACTGGTAATAATCAAACTTTACTTGAACTCAGTTCATTTTTTATTAACCAAAAAACGTAAAAAAATAATGATTTTTACATCAAAATGTGTATCTTTTTATTTCATACAAAGTAATCATTTTGAAAAATAAAAAAGGAAATATTACTTATGATAAATGTAATTAATATTTTATTAAACTTATATCTAATAAAATATGGTAAGTGTATTGTACCGACTATTTCTAGGAAAATTCGTATTGATGGGTTTAACGCCATGATTCATTTATTTGTGCCATTTGACGCTCCTTTTCAAATTTGAAAAACTGACGAACCTCGTTTGCAATCATTTCAAAACCCTTCAACTCTCTTCTCCTCACAAATCTATTGATTTCTATTTATGGCATACCACCAGCGATCGATTAATCAGTCACCTCCGATGGATTCGCAACGCTATCAGTCTCCGACTATCTCTTTCTCAACCAATGAAGACAATCGAGGTTCCAAGTTATAGCTTATCTGCAAATGCTCGTATTTGTGCGTTTGTGTGTCTTTTCTTTTCATTTCGTTTTTGTGTGGAATCGACAAAAAAAAAAGAGTTTTGTGTTGACACACGCCGTTTATGCATAAGTGAGTGTGATTTTGGCGAGCCATTCTTATATAAATGATGAGATACGGTGCAGTTTCTGTTGATCTGAACTGCTTCACGTTCTGTTTTTCTTTTCTCGAATCCAGAAAGAAATGCTGAAAGTTGTTCAAATCTTTGATTATCTTGACTTTGGAACTTGTCTTTTCAGTGGGTTATCCAGACCCGGAATTTGGGCGCTCTTATGGGCACTTCGGAAGCCCAATGGCTGCGCGTGAGGCGTTTCTCATAGAGATTGAAAAGGAAAGCACCCGGGAGAAAATTATATCAGATGAGATTGCAAGAGCAAGGTATGCTGAAGCCCGGATGGAGGAAGAATGGGCACTGCAAAGGGATGGGAGGTTGCCTCCTCCTGAAGCATTGTTTCTTGGGTATGACCAAAGGTTTCCCCTTCTGGAACAATATCCCCGGGACAGGTCACCAATCGGCCAGCAGTCATTCATGGGGACCTCTGGGGCTGGATTTGCCACAAGACATGAACACAGTCAGTTTGAGGTGTCTCCTTTTATGGAAAGGATAGCTGAATCAAGGATTTCAGAGATGTCTTTTATGGACCGTAGGGTTGGATCTCGAATTTCAGACCCGAGGCACCCATATGACTCTCCTAGAAACTAAGTGGGTAGCTGAGGATTTCCAAGGAAGTAACAAGTTTCAAGAACCCATTTGAGTTTTAGCACTCATGAAGTATACTCTGGTATGACTTATTGAGTGTATAAGTATTTCAAATTTGTTAATGGATGGGGTCCCTATTAGTTTTGCAATGGATGTGGTATCCTTTCATGAATTTATTGAATTATGTGGCAATGCATTGTGTCACTGTGCTTGTGTCATTCTCCATATGTTACATATCTAAAAAGTATGCCAGGATTAAGATTTTTGAATCAAGAAATATTCTAATGCCCTTGTGATGTCAAATATTACAGTTGCAATGATTTGTGGTTAACATGTTTTGTTGGTTAAGAAGTATCACTTGATCTTTCTCAATGGTACATAAGACTCTTACTATCTTCTCAGATTCTCTGTCATTCCATTAACCTAGCCAAAGTGCCAAACCACTCAAACCCAACAAGTCTCGCTTGAAAGTAGGGTAAGATGTATGCACACCACACCTTACATCTACCTTAAAATTTACAATTTAACATGTTTGGAACTCCTTTTTGGGAGGTTACATAGTTACATTAACTTCAATGGAAACTAGCATCATATTTTGAAATGTGTCTGCTCTCGGGATACAAAGGTGTTAACCATGACATTTTTTGGGAGTGAGGGATTTGTATATTTTATAGTTAGATATGCTTGAGATTTTCAAATTATTACTTGGAATCTGAAAGCCCTTTACAACATAGGCATGTATGCATTATTTTTAGATTTATGATTTTCTCATACAATCTAAGTTGCTGTTGTTGGGTGTGTTTCGGAAAATAAAGAAAAATTAATTAAAATAAATTGATTAAATAAAATGACTAGAGAAAAACAAGAAAGGAGATTAAGCAGAATTAGCCAAAGCTCGTGCTACGCACGATTTCCTTAAAACGTATTTGTTGCCTCTCACGGTGCTAGGAGCGTTGCAACAATCGTTTCCCAGGATACGATGACTACGAACTAATGTTTGAGCACACAAACAAGAGTTCCAGCAAACGAGAACCAAGTATGAACACAGAAGGATTTTTGGGAGTAGCTAAAAGAGTTTTTAGCTCAAGAAAACGTGAGGAAAGTGTTGTGCGTTGTCAAACCGTGTGTTTGTTGCAAAGCACCTGCCAGCTATTTATAGGAGGATTTGTTGTGTGTTAAATGGGGTGTTAATGGATCTGAACGTTGGACATCAATGATCAGTCCGTTGGGCATTGAATCGTCCATAAACTGTCCATTTAACGCAGCATTAAAAGAGAAGAACGTTGGGCATTAATTGTTGTAACGGAAGAAGTGCGCGGCAGAAGACCCCAATAGAACACCCCTTGGAGGGGTTCTGTCCGAAGCCAACAGAACTCCCCTCGGAGGGTTCTGTTCGAAGCCAACAGAACTCCCCTCGGAGGGTTCTGTTCGAAGCCAACAGAACTCCCCTTGGAGGGTTTCTGTTCGAAGCCAGCAGAACACCCCTTCGAGGGGTTCTGTTCGAGGCCTTCTGTCCGGAGCACTTCTGGGAAAAAATAAACGTTTCGGGAAGAAAACAAAAATTAACCGTATCTCTTGAGAGATAGATTTTTGGACGGCATTCGTGTCCGCAGGTCGCCCGCGCACACGAGTCGCGGTTTTTCTTCTCCGTTTCGGGATTTGATCGGCACCCCCCCTGCGCGTAAGAGAGAGCCTTTCCCTTTAGGAATCTTAACTCCTTAAAAGAGGCTTCCCTTTATAAGGGGGTGAAAATCCCTTGAGTTTTTCGGTGTGGGATAAAACACACTAGAAACTCATCATTTTTCTCAGTTTTTCCATTTCAACGAGTGAACTTCGAGAATCAATTTCTCATTCACCCGTTATCCGTTTTGAGCGTACCATATATCGAATTGTAGCCCTTAACAAGGACAATCCGAAACCACTTTGACCCGACCCAAATCGGAAGTGGACCCCACTCAAATAATTGCCCCAAAATGACCATTTAATGCAATTTTTAACACATTTTTCCAACAATCCCCCACATGAATGAAAATTGATTTTCGAGACTTAAAAGACACGAAGATAGGAGGACACGTTGTGTTCACCGGATGATCCTTGCATACGGAGAGGTAGGTTTTATCCTTTGAACCTTCCGTTGTAAAGACACGTTTATTTACTGGCTGTCTAGTAGACTCGATGTCCTTGAACTATACTGCCGTCGTGTAAACATTGACTTATCTTTACACAAGAACCTTCCAACTTTGTTCCGTTCTCATGGGTGTGCCCGTTTTGGCCATGGGTCACCGTCCTGGTTCTGCAAGAGTTTCTAAAGAACTGAGCCTTTACAGTTCTCCTTTGAAGCGGCCCTCTTCTCTCTCACATAGGTGATTCTTTCACGAGTATCCCGCATACTCTTTCAATGTTATCGAGTAGATCAACATTTTAGAATCATTAAAGCAAACGTTTTTGCTAACCTCGTGCGGGAGTCACTATTTTAACGAGGAGTGGGTAGGAGTCCGGGACCCCCACAATGACCATCCTTCGCTCTATAATTTAGTTGTCCCTTTTGAACCTAGGACCAACTAGGTTGGATATCCACTATAGAACTTTTCAATTCACGGGCTTTAATCCCATTCCTCGTGACAACTTCTCCAACAATTCTCTATCCAATGCCTTGGTTAGCGGATCCGCTATGTTATCCTTTGACTTCACGTAGTCAACAGTGATAACACCCGTTGTGAGGAGTTGTTTAATGGTGTTATGTCTACGACGAACGTGTCTAGACTTACCATTGTAGAGATTGCTCTGTGCCCTTCCAATTGCCGCTTGACAATCACAATGAATGCATATTGGAGGGACAAGCTTCTCCCAACTTGGAATATCCTCGAGAAAATGGCGTAGCCATTCAGCCTCTTCAGTGCACTTATCCAAGGCTATTAGCTCAGATTCCATCGTGGATCTAGCTATTAACGTTTGTTTCAAGGATTTCCACGACACGGCTGCACCTCTCAACGTGAAAACATATCCACTTGTGGACTTAGAGTCCTTTATGTCGGATATCCAACTAGCGTCGCTATACCCTTCAAGTACAGCTGGATATCTTCCATAGTGCAGTCCAAGGTTTTGGGTTTTACGTAAATACCTCAAAACCCGTATTATTGTCTTCCAGTGTTCATCACCGGGGTTGCTAGTATATCTACTTAGCTTACTAACCACAAAGGCAATATCAGGCCTGGTACAACTCATTAGATACATCAAACTTCCAATAATCCTAGCGTATTCAACTTGAGAAATACACTCTCCACGATTTTTGGTAAGATGAGTGTTTTTATCTAATGGCGTCCTTGCCTCTTGATAATCATCCTTATTAAACTTAGTAAGGATTTTATCAACGTAATGGGATTGGCTTAGCGTTAGACCGTCAGGTCCTCTAATTATTTTAATCCCAAGGATTAAATCGGTCAGCCCCATATCCTTCATGTCAAATTTAGAATTTAACATGCTTTTGGTAGAATTAATCATTAGATTATTGCTACCCACGATGAGTATATCATCCACGTATAAACATAAAATGACATAGCACTTTTCACATAGACGCATTTGTCACTTTCGTTTATCTTAAACCCATTAATTAACATTGCATGATCGAACTTTTCGTGCCACTGTTTAGGGGCTTGTTTCAATCCATACAATGATTTAATTAATTTACAAACCTTCTTTTCTTGACTTGGAACACGAAAACCCTCGGGTTGTTCCATATAGATTTCTTCGTCTATATCGCCATTTAGAAAAGCGGTTTTTACGTCCATTTGATGAACTTCCAAATTCCGCAAAGCGGCAATCGCTAGTATCATCCTAATGGAATTTATTCTCGTCACGGGAGAATACGTGTCAAAGTAATCATGGCCCTCGCGTTGCTTGTATCCCTTGATTACAAGTCTGGCCTTATACTTATCGATGGAACCGTCTGGTTTCATTTTACGTTTAAAAATCCACTTGGATCCCAAAGGTTTACATCCCGGAGGGAGATCAACCAATTCCCACGTGTGATTTTTATGGATAGAGTCCACCTCACTTTTGATGACTTCTTTCCACATAGGACCTTCAGTAGACGTCACGGCTTCCGTATAAGTCCGTGGCTCATTTTCTACCAACCATGTTAGAAAATCCGGTTCATTTTCTACCATACATGTTAGAATATCCTATTCAAATTCTACCAGGTAGGTGAGAAAATCCGGTCCGAAGGATTTTTCGACTCTAGCACGTTTGCTACGTCTGGGTTCGGGTTCTTCTCCGGATCCCTCGCTAGTATTTTCCATAGCTACGTCAAGTGTTCGTTTTGACGTGCTAGGCCCTTCGTTGGACTTGCATGGAAATACATCTTCAAAGAATGAAGCATTCCTTGATTCAATTATTGTGTTTTTATGTAAATCCGGATTATTCGAATCGTACACTAAAAACCGATAAGCACTACTATTTTGTGCATATCCAATAAAAATACAGTCCACCGTTTTTGGACCTATTTTTATTTTCTTAGGTGTTGGTACAAGCACCTTAGCAAGACACCCCCACACTTTTAAATATTGATAGGAAGGCCGTCTGCCTTTCCACATCTCGTACGGAGTTTTATCATATTTTTTCCGGGGAACCTTATTTAAAAGGTAATTGCTTGTCAAGATTGCTTCGCCCCACATATTTTGTGGCAAGCCCGAACTTACTAGCATCGCATTCATCATATCTTTCAATGTGTGATTCTTTCGTTCGGCAACACCGTTTGATTGAGGTGAATAGGGTGCGGTACGTTCGTGTACTATACCCACACTAGCGCAAAAGTCACCAATTGGTGCTTCATACTCACCACCTCGATCACTCCTAACCGTCTTAATCCGTCGATTAAGTTGGTTTTCCACTTCATTCTTATAAAGAATGAATTTATCGATTGCTTCGTGTTTATTTTTTAATAAATAAACGTAGCTATAGCGAGTGCTATCATCGATAAAGGTAATAAAATATTTATTACCGCCGCGTGTTTGTATTGATTTAAAATCACAAACGTCACTATGAATTAATTCAAGTGGTTCCGTTTTTCTTTCAATCTATTTGAAAGACGTTTTCGTTAGTTTTGCCTCTACACAAACTCCACATTTGTGCTTCACATCAATTGTGAATTTAGGAATGTGTTCCATGTTAATTAATCTACGTATAGAATTAAAGTTAACATGTCCTAGTCTACCATGCCACACATTGGAAGACTCAAGCAAGTAAGCAGAAGTGATTTTATTATTATTAATAATAATAGTCATTACATTGAGCTTAAACAGCCCATCACATGTATACCCCTTTCCCACATACATTCTTTATTTAGACAAAAC